ACACACAGGTTCAGCATATGACAGCTAAGGATCAGGTGGGATCTGCCCCTCCCGGTGTCTCTGAAGCCTGGTACCTCTGCTGCCGCCAACCCATCAGGAAGCATGAGATCCACACCTCCAGAGCCACTGCCTGGCTTCTCCAGAACTGAGCCACCTGTAAACGCTGCCCAGTCTCCTTCTAGCATTTTGAGACCTCACCCCGGGTGTGTAAGGCCCTCATCCTGCTGCAAGGGTGGGGGGTGCTCGCCTGGCTTCTTATATGTCTCTTCCCACCCCTCAAAATAAGACAAAGATCCAATTCCAAGTTGAGTCAAAGACAGCCATTGATTCACTGAAGACCCTCCAGGATGTGTGTGTGTGTGGCAAGGGACTGACCTGGGGCAACTGGCCCAGAGTCCTCCCTCTAAGCCACCCCCAGAAGGGAGTTCCCTTCCTGCCCCACCCCCATTCTCAGAACCTCACAGAAGCGCCCCTCTTGCCTGCTCAGGTCCAAGTCACTGCCTCTGGGAAGGCTCATTGGGTTGAACCCTAACAGTGGCTTTGCCAACTTTGAGCCCAGGAAGACAACACACACCCAAGGCACAAGAGCTAGAGAGGAGAAGCAGGGAAGTCAGCTACAAGGAAGAACTTCCTGAGGTCAGAGGAGGCTGATGGAAAGGGTCAAAAGGCCCCCTCCTTTGGGACCTCTCGGGCTGACATGGGTGAGGAGTTACCTGCAGCAATCTCAATCTCAAGAACCCTGTCCTCCAGTTCAGGAACCCCAGCAAGCTCAGAATCCCACTCTGTCCAAGTACACTCGGGTCCCCTTCCTCTCAGACCCCACAGGCCCGCCCAGCCTTAAATTCCCCTTCTGTACCAAAAAAGGAATCCTAGGCTTCGCAACAGCTTTAAATGGCCAAGATAAGGCTGGGGCGGGAGGGGGGAGTGTTGCATAAAGCGGCAGGGAAGGGGCGCCTCGGGGTCCGGGATCCCCGAGATTGACTCGGGTCTGCCAGGCCAGTTGTGAACCGGGACGCTGGGCGGCGGGGAGCCCCAAGCCCTGGCCGCGGGCGGGGGAGGGGGAGGGGCGGGGGAGGGGCACGGCGACGCACACAGCCGTTGCGTTTATCCACCTGGCAGCTCCAATTCGCCCGCCCGACACTCACCCTCCGCCTCTCGTGCTCTTGCTGCCCGGCCGACCCCGGGCCACTACGCAGGCGGGGACCCCCATTTGGGTCCTCCTGGTCCCCTGCCCAAGCACCGACCGGAGGGCAGGGTGCTCAGGGACTCCTCTCCCGAAGCTGTGGCACGCAGGAAGGCGCGCACCCGCCATCCTGCCTTGGAGCTGGTGGGCGGGACCGCGGGGAGCTGGTGCCCTCGGCGGCCCTCTGCCCCTGACTGGCACCGAGGGTCGCTCCGCACCACTCTCAGGGTCCGCCTGCCACGAGGAGCGGGACTTCAGCGGGGGGGTCTCCTAAACGCCTTAAGGAGGTTTTGAAAGGCAAACTGACCGAGGGGACGAGGGGACGAGGGGCGGCCGCGACCCCGGGGGCGGTGCTGCACGGGAGGCAGGGGAGGGGGCGGTGACTCAGCCGCCCTCCGCCCGCCTCCCCGGAACTTTGCAGCAGCTGGAGCCGCCGTTGCTACAGGAACCGAAAGCTTTTGTTCCCCGTGTCAGGGCTGCCCCGGCGGGCGGGTGGCTGGGAGGCTGCCACTCCCCGGTGGGACCCAGGTCCGACCACACTGCCCAGAGGACTTCCAGTGGAGCAGAACGCCACGGGTTCGCCCCCCTCCGTCCCTCCTTTTCCCTTGCCGGTTGTTCACTGTGCACTCAGGCCAAAGCCAGGTCTCTTCAAACTCCTTGAACCCTCAGGCCAGGTCGTTCCCTAACTCCGACCTGCAATGCTAACTGCCCTGCAAAGTTCCTGGTGGTGTCTGATCGTCTTGGAGGAAGTAGAGGCTCCTGTTGGCCCCAGAGTGGCTGATTTCCCACAGTGGGCCTTTGGGAGTCCGATGGGTTTCTTCTCTGTACTGATGCCACCTTCCCAGCCTTTACACTTGAACCTAGACCTCAGAGACCTTGGCCTGGTATTCATGGTTGCCTCTATGGCCAGAGCTGATGCCAGAGAGATCCAGTGGAATGCTGCAGAACTATTGAGGAGAGATGGGTAACTAACAGTCACAGGCCCCATGGATTCATAGCGGGTGGAGGGTGTTGCTGAAGGTGTTTTCTGTCTTTATTATCCTGGGGATTGGAGTGAAGACAAACCGCCCAACACACCTACCATTATTAATTGATAGGTGCCAGACACGATACAAACAATCTAATTTCATTCTCTCAACAAGTATATGAGAAAGCGAACACTGACCCATTTTACAGAGGGTCAACTGAGGCTCAGAAAGGTTAAATAGCTTGCCCAGGTCACATAGCTTTTGAACCCAAGTCAGCCATCTGACCAAAAGCGGAGTTCCTCACTACTTTCTCAGCTTCATGACATGGGGATTGATTGTTAGAGAAGGGAGCAGAGACCAGCTAGGACAGTCCTTTGTATTAGGGAAGTGCCCATGGGGCAAACCTCCCTACCCCCATCCCAACCCCACACAAACACCAGTCCCTTTCTGAAAAATGACAAGGGAAGAGCATCAGGGAGGAGGAACACAGGCTAAGCAGGGCAGGAGAGGAGAAGACCCCTTGCCTTATCTCGGCACACTTGGTGGGGAGATGAGGAAGACACTCATCTCTCGACCACCTTCACCAGGACATACCCTGTGCAGTGCCCACACTGACTCCCACCCCTGTGGCAGTGCAGCTCTGGACACTCCCCAGATGCCTACCCTGTCCCAGGGTCAGGTGGATTCCCCAAAAGCCTACTTCGTGCCCAAATCAGTCAGAGCCCACCTTTGCCTCTACCCCACCCCTGGGGAGTGTCATGAGGTAGACGGACAGAATATCCCCGGAGACCCCTGTTTAAGCCCACACAAGCCCATCCAGACAGTCCTGAAGCCAGGGGCCAGTCCAGCCGGACTGGGCTTGACGTTCAAGGGGCTCCTGACTTGATGCTGGGATGAACCCGCCACCCCTCCCCATCCTCAAAGCATAGAACCTGACCTCAGGAGTGTTTGGTCAGCGCTAGCACCAGGGGATACCCAGCATTGCCCACCACTCTTATCCCCAGGGACTTCCCAGAGCCAGTCCTGCAGCCGCTGTAATGCTCCGGCTGCGGAAACCCGGGGTTGCCCGCGGGAGGAGAAGGGGCGGCGGGTCCTGGGCTGCGGGCAGGGGGCGCCAGAGGACGCCAAGGGGCCCGGCCGGCAGCTGGCGAGGCGGGCAGGCGGGCAGCATCTCTGGGCCCGGGCGCCCCTCCCCCCGCGGGCAACAGACCCGGTCGCCCGCTCTGCATCGGCCGCGGCGCGGAGGACTTCCCGCGGCTGTGCTCTCCCCGACCGAGCCCATTGCGGGAGTGGCCACCAACTTCACAGCCTACAATCCACAAATCATGCCGGCCCCCGGGGTTGCGGGAGGGTGCGTCTGGTGCCCGGCTCTTTGCCCAGCATTGGGAGAAGAGGGATGAGGGGTTCGGCCAAAGATGAACACGGGAGTCAGGAATGCCGGTCCAGTTGAGATCTCGGCCAGAGGGAAAGGTCTTGGGGAAACATGGGGGCCACAGCCCCAATTCCAGGCTGGGGGGGAGGGGACTTGCAGCAGAGATTGGCGAGGGAAGGAGGGACTCTGGGCAGATATGGGGGAGGGGGCACTCGGGACAGAAATAGAGGGGAAGCATGGTCAGGGTACAGGAACGACTCTCGGCAGAGATGAAGTGGAGGAGAGGACCAGGGTCCGGCATCCAGACTAGGAGGGGAGTTGGAGGGGGAAGACAGTGGAGCTGCAGGTTGGTGAGAGGGGTTCTAATCAAGATGAGGGGGCGCGCTGCCCGGATCGGGGCCGAGACAGGGAAAGACTCGAGACAGCGGTGTGGGGACTGTCTGGGTCAGGATTCTAAAGGCGGGGCGGGGGGAGGGAGTTTAACATAGACCATAAAGGGTCGATCCAGGCTGGGGGAGGGGGTCAGAAAAAGGACTCACCAGAAATGAAGGGGGCCTAGACCCCAGGCTTGGGAGTTCCCCAAAAGACGGGTGGGTGAGCGTTGAATAGACTCTCAGGCGGAGGGAGAATTCAGCCGAGATGGGTTTAGAAAAGCGCCCCGAGTGCGGGCTGGTGCGGAAACTCAGTACCGCGCCGGGAGGGTTCGGTGCGGGGCCGGGTGAGGGTCTGGGGCCGAACACTCACCTGGGCGCCGTCAGCAGCAGGAGCGGGGGCCGGCGCTGGCGGAGGCGGCCACGGGGCGCAAG